TTCACCTTGTTCACCACTGACAGCACAGTGCTCAGGGTCCATGCCCCCTGAGACACCCTAGAGCTCAGCGAGTGGGCTCCCACGCCCGGTGTTCCTCTGGAGCCGCTGGGTGTGAGGGTCAGCCCAGCAGGAGGGGGTGATACTGCCGGGCACACTGCTGTGTCCGGTATACTTAGCCCAAGGCTGGGGTCCTAGTGCCTCAGCCATTATGGAGAGCACTGGTGGGCTGGAGGGAGCCGAGAGCTTCCGCAGGCTCTGCTCGCCACGAGCGGCCACACTACTCACGGGTCCACACGTGCAATGGAGCCGACGCCATGCTCTCCGTAGGGCGCTCCTGTGCCCCGAGCCCACTGAGGGCGGTCACCCGGACGGTGTATCTCCTTCCAGGAAGCAGGGCACTGTGGGAGAGAGGACAGGATGGTCTCGGGCTATGTGTCCGGCTCTGTGGCCAGGCTGTGGGCGGCCTCCATGAGGGCAGATTTGTGGCCTGAGACCTGGGTGCTCCTTGGTGGGAAGCTGCTCCCTGTCTGTCTGTCCAGTGCAGTAAGTCCGAGAAGGCATGTGTGAACTAATATAAATTCAAAGTAAACATCATTACATAAAAGGGTACGGTCTTTTTTTTTTTTTAGTCTTATTCATTTCAAACGGGCCGGATCCAGCCCGCGGGGCCGTAGTTTGTCCACGGCTGGCCTAGAGGCTGATGTTCAGACAGGTAAGGGGCCCTTGGCTGGAATTCCCAGGTGGGTCCCCAGCCACTCAGGAATATGAGGGCCTCGCTGAGCCTAATGTTTGTGGTTCACACAGAGCCGTCACCTCCTCCTGGGAGCCTGGACTCTTCCCCAGGCAGGGGGCGCCGTGACCAACCCCAATAACCCTGGGCTCTGGGTCTCTGACTGGCTTCCCTGTCTGTCCTCACATGTGCCATCACAACTGGTGGTGGGGAATGAAGCGTGTCCAGTGTGGCTTCATGGGGAGGGGGCTCTTCCCTTCTGTGTGCTCATGACGTTTCTCTGTCACAGATTCAGCTGTACATGCAGCCTCGGTTGAATCCTGAGAGTCCTCTCGGCAAGCCTGGGAGTGGTCTTGGGGACCCGACAGTCACCAAGTGCCCCTGGGGCCACAGGTGTTGTTTCTGTCATATATTCTTTGGAAATGGGCAGGATATCAATCAAGAAAAGTGACAGCAACACTTAAAGCAGAGTCTTGTCTCCAGCACAGATGACCATCTGGTGGGAGACCATCATGGCTGGAAAAAGATGGGTCTTGGTGAGGCTGCAGACTAATCTTAAACAGTGCGGATGGGTTAGAGGGTGCCCAGGGACAGGGTCCCTACCCCCTCATGACCTTGACCCCTGGCTGCTCTGGGCTGCACACTGCTGTGCTGTTCCCATAAGCAGCCTGCCTATCTGTTGGCAAGCACAGTAACTGGATGGGAGTTTCCTCCACTGGAGGTGTGTCTACTCTGCAGGCCCCAGAATCCAGGGCCAAGGCCACCCCTCCCCAGGATTACCAGCCAGTCCCCTTCCTCACTCTCTCATTGTTTAGCACTGTCTGCCTGCCCAGCCTGACCCCGGGTGGCCTGATGTCTGATACCCTGTATGGGTCGTTAAGGTGGTGATTTCGATCAGCTGTTTTGAATGAGTTGTGTTTGTCATTAATTTGTAATAATTGGGCATAAGAAGTTTATATGCCTAGGTTAAGGTTTGAATGTATCATTCGCCTGTTTTTTCCCCTCTCAGAGCGGTCTATGTGACTCAGGCTGGAGGAGCTCTGCGTAACCGTGACAGGCTGGTCTCCAGGTAGCGAGTCTGTCTCACTCCCTTGCAGGAGATACAGCCTCCAGGTTTTTAGGGTGTCTCTGTTCTTTTGGGACTTAACCCCTTGTCTGGCATCCCTGTGAGGAAGTACTGAAGGAGTGAGCCCAGGCTGAGAGTAGCTGGGCCCTGTGTGGACCACCAGGTGCCAGGTGGACACAGGAGGCACACACCTACCCCTCAGATGGGCAGGGTCAGTGGCAACCATAGGGGAGCTGGAAGAAGGAAAGGAGGCCGGCCTGAGCTCTTACCTGAATGTGAACATGTCCACACTTTTGTCCACATCGTTGGACTGGTCCTCTTGGGCCTCAGGGTGGCGGATGGACACACGGACACTGCTGACAGTGGCGTGACGTATCCTATGCAGAGCCCACCGCACGGAGATGGCGTTGGCCGTCACATTGGTGACCTCAAGGCCCTCGACAGGGCGAGGTCCTGGGAGACAAAGGGTGCTCAGCCTTGCCAGCACCTCCTTACCCCTGGGAAGGCGGGGTCTCGAAACAACAGAAGAGGCTCAAGAAGGTGCTGGGGGAGGGGGATGGTCACACAAAGGCACCCAAGTAAGGCAGCAGCCAGCTGGGCTTGCTAAGTGCATCCCTCAGGCACAGTGGGGACCCTGTCAGGTGGACCTGCCCCAGGCTTCTGCCCTGGCAGGGCTGTGAAGAGCCAGCCAGCTCCACCAGAGGCCAGCGGGTGGGCACAGGGCCCCTCCTGATACCCCCTTGTCTTCTCTCTGGCTGATGTTTTGGTCGCACTGATGTAATCATCAGGGTGGTGCTGGGGCCTGTCGGTGATAGAAGCTAAGAGAGTCCTCTGACCCAGAGAAGGGGCCAGGTGCAGGCCAAACCCTGGACCAGCGGAACGGAGGTGGGTGCTGCAGCACCAGTCCAGTGGGCAGTGGTCCTCCCACCCACCCTGGTGTCCTGGTGGAGACACCATTCTGATGAGAAGGGGAGGCCATCTTCCTGCCAGATGCCTTTTCTGGGCAGACCGGTTCTCGAGCTTTGAAAGTGCTTCTTCCTAAAGCCAAGCTCAGGACGATCCCTATTTTCCCTCGGACCCCCAGGACTCCAACGCTGCCACACGTTCAGGACCCTGCTCTCCTTTCCCGCAACACGCCTATCTTGACTCCGTATCTGTCCCTCACTTGGCCCTCAGTGTCCACACGTCAGTGCCCTGTGAGGGCTGCACACTGCCCCAGGACGCCTTTCTGCTCCCTTCCCTGGGACCTTGCCTCCCAGCACCTGGTGTGGCAGGAGCTCAGCGCTGGCCAGGGCTGCACCTCCCAGTCCACCTTCTTCCCCCAGCACCCCTTGCCCTGACCGCACCCCCCCACCCCCCTTCCCACCCACCCGTCCCACTGCCCTTCCCCCATGACAGCCCCTCCTCCCACACTCCTCCATCAGCCTGGCTCCCTAACCCTGCCAGTCTGTCAGCCTGTCTGCCTGTCTCTGCCCAGCCTGTGTCTGGGGTGGGCCACGCTGGGCAGACTCACGCGTGCGGGTGAGCAGCACCAGGGGCCTGCTGATGTCGTTCCTATTGTTGGCGTGGCGCTTGACCGAGAAGATGGAGATGTTGTAGGCCCTGCCGGCCCCCAGGGCTCGGAGCTGGTGGGAGGAGCGGCTCTGGTCCACAAAGTCGGTGCGGCGGAAGGAGCCGTCAGCAGAGGCGTAGGTGACCGCATACCCATCCAGCATCTGCCTGGCAGCCTGGCCTTCGGGTGGGTGCCAGGAGATGGTGACCCCACTCTCCTCCACTTGGTCCACCTTGAGGGCCGTTGGTGGGAAGAGCTCTTCAGGGTTTCGGTCAAGAACAAGGGAAGGGGGGTGGTCAGCTGTCGGCCATCAAAACCCCGGACCCCAAGCAGGTACCCAGCCTGGTGGCTCTGGGCCTGGCCCTGGGGTAGATGTGGGCACTGCTGGCAGGGAAGCCACTCCTGGCACCTGCAGGGGATGCTTTCATTTTGGTTTCTGGCTGTTGCTCCCAGGATAGGCTCTTGCATACACATAACCACACTGAAGCCTCCTGGAGGGGCTCATGTGCACACGTGACTATTCATGCCACCTCGACTTATGTGCCCCTCCCTCCTTCCCTGTAGATCAGCGGTTCTCAACCTGTGGGTCGCGATCCCTTTGGGGGTCGAACGACCCTTTCACAGGGGTCGCCTAAGACCATCGGAAAACACATATATAATTACATATTGTTTTTGTGATGAATCACTATGCTTTAATTATGTTCAATTTGTAACAATGAAAATACATCCTGCATATCAGATATTTACATTACGATTCATAACAGTAGCAAAATTACAGTTATGAAGTAGCAACGAAAATGATTTTATGGTTGGGGGTCACCACAAGAGGAACTGTATTAAAGGGTCACGGCATTAGGAAGGTTGAGAACCACTGCTGTAGATCCTGGGAAGCAGCTGTCAGATGCTCTGCCCTGGGGTGGAGGGGGCGCCTCAACCCTTTGGCCTGTCATTTGGGGTGTCTACTGCCCTCTGAGTGAGGAATAGAGGCCCTACCACCTCATTCTGGTGCCCTTATGCCTCACCTTTGGCGCAGTCCTTGCCCGTGTAGCCCACTTTGCAGGTACAGCTGTGGGACCCATTGCTGGCCAGGCAGTAGCCACGACCCCCACAGGGGCTGGAGAAACAGGGATCACTCACTGGAGGAGGGGGAAAAGCAGCATTGAGCTCTGGGGTGTCACCTGGCCCCCCACTGGCCTGGGCCTTGCTCTTGGGGGACTTGGTTGTTCCTGTGTGGGTGTGTTTTTGATGGAGGTGAGGGTACTATCAGGCAGCTTTTGGGGGGGGTGGGAGTAGGAGAAGGGACACTCCAGGATGTGGGGTCAGGGCTCATCAGAAGCTGGGCAGTGTGGCCTTCTGACTCTGAGCCAGGCCATCTCCCCCCACCCCAAGCCAGGTGCCCTGGCAGGCAGTGACTTGGGGTGGGGTGAGCACAGCGCTAGCCCTTCCACGCCTCTCTCTGCACTGCGCTGTGGCTAGAGTCCCCACCCAGGGCAGGGCCCGCAGGTTCCCAGCATGGCCACAGGAAATACTTGCAAACCAGTAGCAAGTCCCTGATCACTGTCTCAGCTGCTGATCTCAGGGCCCCCGCCTGCCCCAGGCCTGTTCACCAACAGTCCCTACCCTGCTTGTCCCTAGGCAGGCTCCTGTGTCTGCAGTCCCATCACAGGCCTTGTCCCTGGAAGCCCCATCCACCCTGCACAGCTAAGTGCTGCCAGCCAGGCCCAATCGGGGCTGGGGACATGCCCATAAGCAGGTCAGCCTCCCCCACGGACACATCTGTTCTAGGAGAGTGGTGTGACAGCAAGTGGAGGGAATACAGATGAAACAACCCCATAGGGCAGGGAGTGCTGGGGGCATGACCCGTCAGAAGTCAGGGAATGCCTCATCTGGGAGAGACATGTCCCAGGGGGAGACTATTCCAGGTGTAGGAGTCGGGGGGCGGGGGTGCCCAGACCCTGAGCTGGAAAGCCTGGCCATCCAGGGACAGCAGGGGAGGTGGGGGAGCTTGCAAGGAGCCCGAGGAGGAGTGCCCGGGCCATGCCCACACCTGTCTCACAGTGGTAGCCGAAGAAACCCTCTGGGCAGACGCACAGGTAGGCCCCGCCACCGTTCTTGCACTGGCCTCCGTGCTGGCAGGGGCTGGAGTCGCAGGCATCCACCTCTGGAGAACACCCAAAGAGTGGGCCCGAGCGGCAAAGGGGTGTCTGGGGGAGGGAGGAGAGGACAGCGGGAAGAAGGGAAAGGGCGGCGTGGACGAGCCGGGGGTGGAAGTCTCTCTCATCCTTGGTGGGTGCCCAGCTCTCCCTTCACCCCTAGAATCCTGCCTGCCAGGCAATCTGTCCAGCAGGGCCAGGGTGGCTGCCCCCTCTGCTCTGCTCTCTGAGTGGCCCAGGGTCTGGGCTTTCAGAAAGCAGTTTTGCCTGGGTGTCTGGGGCATCTCAAGTGTGGGTGAGGGCCTGGGCACACAGGGGATCCACCCAAGCATAGCCCCTACCTGTCTCGCAGTGGACTCCAGTGAAGCCTGTGGAGCACTGGCACACAAAGGCTCCTGGGAGGTCCCTACAGGAGCCTCCGTTTCTGCAGGGCTGCGCCTGGCACTCATCTGTCTCTGCAAAGACAGGACACGGGGCTGCATGAGCCTACCTACCCCACATGGGCCTAATTGGCCTATAGGGCCCCACATGGGCTTATATGGGCCTACGTGGACTTACATGACCTTCAGGGTTCTGTGTTCAGCCTGAGGCTTCTACCTCACACCTGCCCTCTCCACTGCCTGTCCCACAAAGCCCCCACCCCAAGCTACTCCCAAGTTTACTGTCCAGGTTGGACATCCTGGGCCTGGCCCTCCCTGGGTGGTGTCACTGTCTCAAGGCTTAGAGCCCCACACAGATGTAAGGAGTGCAGGGCGCATCCAGCAGTGCACCTGGCAGGCCCCCACTCCCTCCACCAGCTTGGAGCACTGGCCAGGTATCAGGGCTGTGACCTGCCCTCTCTGAACCCCATCTTGTCTGCCCCTGAAGCCAGAGTCTACAGTCAGCCAGTGTTTCTTAGCCAAGCTTCCAATCTCCCCAGCTAGGTGGAGGCAGAGCTGGCAGGGGCCTGAGTGTGTAGCCAGCCAGACACCAGCCAGGGTGAAGAGGGTCAGGGCAGGCCATGGACATGGTCAGGCTGCTGGAGCTGCTGCCCTGTGGTGAGGGCCAGGCTGTCTTACCCAGCTCACAGTGGGCTCCTTCATGCCCCGGGCTGCAGACACACAGGTACCCGGCGACTCGATCCTGGCAGGAGCCCCCATGCAGGCACGGCTGGGATCTGCACTCGTCAATTTCTGGGAGAGAGTAGTGCCCAGGTGCATGGGTGCCAGTAGAGATCCGAGAATAAAACAATGTTGCCGTCATTAGAAGCAATGGCTTGAAGCCAAATTAAGATGGACATAAATGAGTTTTGTTCTGAGGAGACTCCGTGGGACTCAATTTCCCAGCTCAGGTGGATGGGCCCAATCTTGCCAATTCACTTAGTAACAATCATGTACGAAAACAATAAAATGGGGTTGAGTCCTTTGTTTTAAAATATTCACCCTGTGTGTTTCTTAAACTGGGAGTTGTGCTACTGAATTCAAAATGTCCCATTTAGAAAAGTTTAATTTGAATGCTTAGCAACATGTGAGTAAATAGATGGTAATGATATAAGGACTGCTGGAGCTGCACTCAACCTGGGCACTAGAATGCTGACGGGCTCAGCAGGGCATATGCACATCCCCACCCGGTGTGACACGAGTTTCTGTGGCTATCATTTCTGTGCCCGTTTAAATTTAAATTTTTATGAGTTGCCTAATCAATACTATAGATGGCTTTGCTTTTGCTATTTATGAACTTTATCTATAGGATATTGTGGTATATGTACTCTTCTCTGTCCACGCTACAGTAATAAGACATCTCCATGTTGCTGCGGGTCTCTGTGGGACCCCCTTTCCCAGCTGTATAATATTCCAGTGTGATTATACTGTACTTTACCCATCCTTGTTTGGTGCACCCTTGGGTTGGTCCTAGACTTCTTACTATTGCAAAACAAGTGTTTCTGTGTCTGCTTCCCCATCTACTGCTTGTTGATGTGCACTGAGAAGTGGAGTTGCCGGGACACAGCTTATATGAATGGTCAGCTCGATAGGCAGATTACCAAGTGGTTTTCAAAGTGCTTAAACAATTCACATTTCCTCCAGCAGTTTTCTCACAAATCCTGTGGATCCACATCCTCACCAACACATAGGCCTCTTCAGCTTCGGAAGTTTGGCCAACTGCACGCATCTCGGTGTGCTTTTGATTGGCATATGGGTGATTGCTGCATTCTTTACGTTCACTGGTTCTGTGTACCTCCTCCATGAAATGCCTGTTCATGAGTTTTGCTGATTTTCCTGTCAGGTTGGTTATTCTTTTCTTATTGATTCATAGAGTTCTTCATATATTCTTGAAACCAGTTTGAACCTTACATTTCACTTTCTTCTTTAAGTTCCTAATTTTTATATAGTCAGTGTGTCCATTTTCCCCCTTTTATAGTTAGTGCTTTTTATTTTTTCCTGGCTTATGGCATCTTTTCTTACCCCAAGGCCAAAAAAAAAATTACCTATATTTCTCAAAGTGCATGAAAATTTTATTTCAGCTGTGGTGAAGATTTTCCCATCCTTTTAAAAGAAGTTTATAGCCCTAGCCAGTTTGGTTTAGTGGATAGAGTATAGGCCTGTAGACTGAAAGGTCCTGGGTTCTATTCCGATCAAGGGTACAACCCCAGGTTGCGGGCTCAATACCCAGTAGGGGGGTGTGCAGGAGGCAACCAATCAATGATTCTCTCTCATCATTGATCTCCCTCTCTCTCTCTCTCTTTCTCTCTCTCTCTCTCTCTCTCTTCTTCTCTGAAATCAATATAAATACATTAAAAAAGACAGTTTATAATTTTGGCCTTTATATGGATGTTATAATGAATTTCACATATAAAAATTTATCATGATTTTGATACCATTGTACATCATTTTTGTTTCACTTCATTTCCCAAGTGTTCACTGCTAGAATATGAAAATATAACTGGTTTTGTATGTTGACTCTGAATCCTGTGACCTCATTGAATTCACTTCTTAGTTCTATAGCTTCTTTTGTAGAATTGCCTTAGCATTTTCTGTGCTCACTATTGTGTCATCTTCACGGCTTCCTTTCCAGTAGACACACCCTTTCTTTCCTCTTGTCCATGGCCGTCTGGAGTCTCCAGGACCACACTGAGAGGAGTTGGTGAGATGGACACATTTGCCTCAATACTGATTATGGCAGGAAGCCAGTCATCATTAAGTATATTATTGGCTGTTGAGTTTTTCATGGGTTCCTTTATCAGGTTGAAGAAATTCTCTTCTACTCTTAGTTTACTAAATTTTTAATAATAGTTGAATTTTGTCAAATGATTTTTCTACCTCTATTGAGGTGATCATATGGTTCCCTCCTTTATCGCCTAATATGGTGTATTACATTGATTGATTTCCAGATGTTAAACCAGCCTGTGCTCTTGAGATAAATCCCACTTGGTCATGATGTGTTTTGCTTTTTATGTAGTACTGGGGTTAATTTAGTAACATATTGTTAGGATTTTTGTATGTATATCATGAGAATTTATCTGTAATTCACTTTTTGTAATGTCTCTGTCTTGTTTTGGTATCACAGAAATACTGGTCTCATAAAATAAGTAGAGAAATACTCCTTCCCCCTGTGTTTTCTAAAAGAGCTTTTATAGGGTATAATTCCTTTCTTAGATGCTTGATAGAATTCACCAGTGTTATGAAAATCTGATCCTGACATTTTCTTTGCAGGAAGGTTTTTTATTCCAAATAAAATTTAATAGATATAGGGATATTCATATATTCTAATTTTCCTTCTGCCAGTTCTGGTAATTTGTGTCTTTCAAGGTATTCATCCGTTTCATCTAGGTCAGTGATGGCGAACCTCTGACACATGAACTCATTTTTTCGGTTGATTTTTCTTTGTTAAATGGTATTTAAATATATAAAATAAATATCAAAAATATAAGTCTTTGTTTTACTATGGTTGCAAATATGAAAAAATTTCTATGTGTGACACGGCACCAGAGTTAAGTTAGGGTTTTTCAAAATGCTGACACACTGAGCTCAAAAGGTTCGCCATCACTGATCTAGGTTGTCAGATATATTGGCCTAAAGTGCAATACCCCCTGTTGTCCTTTAAACATTGGTAGGGTCATTAGTGATGTCTCTTCTTTCATTCTAATATTACCAATTTTTCTTTTTTTCTTGATTAGTCTAGCTCGAGGTTATCTATTTCATTTACTTTTTCAAGGAATCAGATTTTGGTTTCATTGATTTTCTCTGTATATATGTTTTTTATAATTAAATTCTCTAAATGTTTATTTATTTATTTTTATTTATATACTAGAGGCCCGATGCACAAAATTCGAGCAAGGGGCTTGGCTCTCTCAGCCGTGGCAGCTGCCTCAACCCTCGCAGCCCCACCCCAGGGGGCCCACAGATCACTATGGCACTGGGGAGGCTCACTCCAGACGCCCTGCAGCTGGCAGACCGGATGGAATTAGGGGCGCTCAGGCTGTAGCCTTAGTCACGTGAGTGCCATGCCACCGAGCCCAGCCGTGTGCCATTGAAGTGCCACATGGCATGCATGACCTCCTCGGGGGGTGCAGTCCACCTCTGCAAGGACACAGTAGCCCGTTGTGCACAGCAGGGCACCTGCCCAGCCCCATTACTGTGCCCACCAGGCCACAGAGCTCGGAACCCCTGCTCCCCACACAGCCTGTCCCATGGTGAAGGTGCCTTGACCTCCAGGAGGGCTGCCCGGAGGTTTCCTTTCCTTCTTCCCCTCTGTTCTCTCCACCCCCTGCACACTGTCCTCTGCTCTTTCAGGATTAGGAAGAACTCCTTGCCCCCACCCCAGTCCCCTGGTCCTCTCACCCGCCTGGCACCGGCGTCCTGTGTACCCTGCTCGGCAGCGGCAGAAGAAGTCTGTGCCCAGGTCCTCGCAGGTACCCCCATTCACACAGGGGCTCCGGAAGCAGGGGGAAGGGGCTGCAAGGTCACAGGGGCCACTATCATCCATCACTTCCTCCCCACTGGCCTCTGGGCTGCACAGAGATGTCCCCTCTGTGCCGCTCTGCCTACCCCTCCACCCCTGCCACCCTCGCCTGGGCCAGCCATAGGGGCGTGTTTTCTGCCTCTAGCGGCCTGCATCCACCTTACCTATCTCACAGTGCCGCCCAGAGAAGCCTGGGGGACAGTCACACTTGTATTTGCCAATGTAGTGGAAGCAGGTGCCTCCATTGTGACAGGGCCCAGAGGCGCACGAGTCTGGCTTCCCTGGGAGCAGAGGGCACAGTTGGGGTCAGGTGTCATATACCCACCACCTCTGCCCCTTCCCTGGTCCCCAGATCCCAAAGCAGACGTGGTGGTGGGTCGGGGGTCCTGGTTCCCACCCCCGATTCCTAGCCGATCCCAGCTGGCAGACCGCACCGATCTCACAGTGCCTCCCGGTGAAGCGGTAAGGGCAGTTGCACTGGTACTCGCCGCCTGCTTCCTTGCAGGTGCCCCCATTCCGGCAGGGCCCCGAGCTGCACAGGCGCGGCCGGGCTGTGGAAGGACAGAGAGAGAGGGAGGCGGGTAAACAAGGGCTCACGGTACCCCCACCCATGTCTTCTCAGTCCTCAGGCACTTGTGGGCCCTGCTGGCTCTGGCCTGCTTCTCAGCCCCACAGGCCTGGCAGCAGCAGGGGCCAAGCCAGTCTGTAGATTCCCTCTCCACCTCGGGGCCTCTGCCCACCCCACCTCTCTCCTCTGCCCGAGCCCTTCAAACTGCAAGGAGGGGACCATCCAGGGTGGGCGCTGGTCAGTACTTAGGGAAGAATAGTTACACTCTCAAGTGGCTGTGTTGTTGACATTCTCCAAGTTGGATTAGATGTAACAAAATCCTAATGAATGTTTTTCAAATCAATGATTCTAAAAGCCATTTGAAAAAATGCTGAGCAGGACACAAAGCCTATTCTGAGGAAAGCAGTGATGACCAGGGGGCCACAGACCAGATGCAGGAACCCCTGAACCATTGGAAGGGGAGTGCGTTATTCCCGGGATGACAATTTAAAAACACAATAATAACAATAAAACTTGGACTGTGTAACATATACAAAAATAAACTATATGACACCAATAGCCTGAAGCAGAGTGCACCAGCTCTCCCAGCAAAGCGTCCGCTATTAATATTTTTGGCTTTCTGGCCAGGTGGTCACAGGGCGACCGATGCACTGACAAATACCCTCGGGCAGGGGGAGGAGCCAGGCCACTGGCGCTGTCCGGGGTGCTGACACCCACCTTTCTCGCAGTGCCTGCCATGGAACCCACGTGGGCACTCGCACGTGTAGGAGTCATCTTGGGCCTCGCAGGAGCCTCCGTTGAAGCAGGGGTCTGAGTCACAGGGTGAGGGTAGTGCTGTGGGGTCAGAGGGCAGCCCTGTTGCATTCTGGGCAAGAGGCTGGCAGGGCCACCCTGACACCCTGGCTGGGACCTCGGCCCCTAAAATACACTCTGCTGGGTCTTGATTCCTCACTCAGGCTCTAAGGCCCCTCCCTGGAATTTCTCTTATCCTTGATTTTCCCAGAATTCTGCCTCCCTCTTCTAGGAGCTGGGATTGAGCTCACCAACACCATCATCACACATAGTGGTGGTGTTGGGGTTTAATCACATGCTGCATTAGGCATCCGTTGACATGCTAGCAGCTAAGCTAGAGGCTTGGGAAGACACTGCTTGGCACCTGCATGCGGTCAGGTGCCCTTTGGCTGTCAGCCTGCTGCAGGGAAGATGGGAGGAGACCTGGCCTGTGTTAGAGGACTGCCTGCCGTCTGGGGTGGGGGTGCACCCACAGGTCCTCTGGTGCGCCGCAGGGAAGCTGCCACTTTCCTCCAAACACCCCCACCCCCAGTTTGTGGGCACCATCCCAGCCCTCAGGCATGTGCACACCCTCCACCCCTCTCACAGTGGCTGATGTTGTGGTCAGTGTGGCAGACGCACAGGTAGCTCCCGCTGTACTCCATGCAGTAGCCGCCATCGGGGCACTGGGTGTTCATGTTGCAGGGCGTGGCTGTGACTTCTGCTCGGGAGGAAGGAGCCCTCTCTCAGGTCTTCCTAGGGACCTGGTGTTCTTAACAAGGGTGGGGTGTGCAAGACCCAGTGACCCCAACAGGAGATCAGGTTCAGGCACTTTTATTGCCAGCTCCCTCCTGGGGTGGGGGTAGGGTCGCAGAAACACTGGTGGAGGGTCTGACCTTGTGGATCCTGGTCCAGGCTGAAGCCACCTTCAAACCCTGGTTTGGAGGATAGTCAGGGGCAGGCAAGGTGTCCCCAGCTCAACTCTGGGCACCTACCAAATTCGCAGAGGAGCCCAAAGAAGCCCAGGGGGCACTGGCAGAGGGTGGTATTGCCCGCGAGACATCTGCCACCATTTCGGCACTCACAGTCATCAGGGGTTCCTGCCACAGAGAGGAAGGAGCCTCTAATGTGGGGGTGCTAGAGAGTGGGGCCCTTTCCTGACCCTGCCCTGCTCCTGGCGACCTTCCCATAAGAGCTGCTGTGTAATCCCCACATGCTCACACATTCTCTATCCTGCTGTTTGCATGCACACCCCACGGGAGGCCCCAGCCCAGCCACACGCACTGTCCCTGCAGTCGAGGCCCATGAAGCCTTCGGGGCACTCGCACACGTAGCCCTCATCTGCGTCGACACAGGTGCCCCCATTCTGGCAAGGGGCCGAGAGGCAGGGGTCAGGCACTGGCTGGCTTCCTGTAAGAAAGACAGTGGTCACCAGAGCAGCAGCACACATTGGGGTTTCCACCTCTGTTCCCAGTGCCAAGTGCAGTTTAAGTCGGAGGCCTATTTCCTGGGAGCTAATTTCCCGCTGCCCCTCCCCTGGGAGCCCCTCTTTGGAGCAGAATGAGAAGCAAGGATAAGAAGGGCCCACGGTGGGCACTGAAGGTCCCAGCAAGGCCGGAGGCCTCCAGATGGTTCTGCTCGAGCATCTCTTAGTAAAATACGGGGATTTTCCTGGTACCTTTCTCTTGTTGATTCTACTTTAATTTTGCTGTGGTCAGAGAATACAATCCTTTTGAATTTATTGAGCCTTATTTTATGGTGGCAGGACGGCCTGTCATGGCGAGTGCTCCCTGAGCACTGAAAAGAATGTGCGTCTGGATGCCCATCCGGCCAGGCGGCCAATGGTGCTGGGCAGGTCCATCCTTGCTGGCTTCGCTCACGTGTCCTGAGCTGCTGGCGTGTCCTGACCTCTCCGCCGACAATGATCTGTGTCTCCTAGTGGTTCTGTTAGCTTTTGCTTCATGTATCTTGATTCATGTTAATAGTATATTTAAGATTGTTGATCCTCTTGGCGGATTTCTCTCTCTGTCATTATGAAAGGTCTCTCTTTGTCCCTGGCAGTATTTCTTGTTCAACAGAGAAGCCGGGCCAGATTCCCGGGATGAGTAATGGCCAACCCTTTCCTCTTCGTTTCTTCCATGTTCAGTTTCTTCACACAGTTTCAGAATTTAATCTGTTAAATTAATACATAGTAAAGTTGACTTTTGTTGGCAGTGTACTTCCATGAATTGTAACACGTGTAGATCTGTGTGACCCCGCCACACGTCCTATCACCCCCACGATGTCCCTGTTCTCTCTCTTCAGGGTCACAGATGCCCTCGGTCCACTTCACATGCAACGGACAGACCTGGAAATGTTTTATTCGCTTTACTCAGAGGTGGGTAAACTGTGGACCACAGACCAAATCTTGCCTGCCGCCAATTTAAACACAAAGTTTCTTTGGACACTGCCTTGCCCGGTCATTTACGTGTCATCTGTGGCTGGCTGCTTTTCATTACTCTGGCAGTGTTGAAGAGCTGTGACCACCTGGCCGGGAAGCCAAAAATATTAATAGCGGGCCCTTTGCAGGGAGAGCTGGTGCACTCTGCTTCAGGCCATTGGTGTCATATAGTTTATTTCTGCATATGTTACACAGTCCAAATGTTATTGTTATAATTGTGTTTTTAAATTGTCATTAAGGTGATTAAAAGATAAAAAGAAAAGTTATATCTGCTCACATATTTACTATCTCTAGAACTCTTCATTCCTTGGTGTAGATCCAGATTTTCATCTGGTACCATTTTCTTCTATCTAAAGAGTTTCCTTTAGCATTTCTTGCAACGCAGATATGCTGGTGATGAATTCTCTCAGTTTTCTTTTTTTTAATTTTAAAAATATTTTTATTGATTTCAAAGAGGAAGGGAGAGGGAGAGAGAAACATCAATGATGAGAGAGAGAATCATTGATCGGCTGCCTCCTGCATGCCCCCTACTGGGAATTGAGCCCGCAACCTGGGCATGTGCCCTTGACTGGAATCAAACCCAGGACCCTTCAGTCTGCAGGCCGACGCTCTATCCACTGAGCCAAACCAGCTAGGGTTCAGAGTTTTCTCTGTTGGAAAATCTTTATTTCTCCTGCATCTTTGAAAGTAAGTTGACAGTGTTTTCCTTCCTGCCCCACAGTCTGGCCTGCACGTCCCCGTTCCTCTGTTTGGATTCTGTTTTTCCCTCTGGCTGCTTTTAAGATTTTCTCTTTGTCACAGGTTTTCAGCAAGCTGACTGTGGTGTGGCTTCATGTGATTTCCTTAATGCTTTTCTTGGACATGTGGGTCTTAGTTTTCATCAAATGTAGCGAATGTTTCTTCATATATTTTCTGTGCCTTCAGCACTCCCTCCTCCCGGGACTCCAAACACACCACTAATCACTGAGATCTGGTCCTAGCCTTACTCTGCCTGTGCTGCGTGTGGAGCTGTTGCGTTTCTCCAAGTTCTCATGTGTTTCCTTCTGCACTGTCTACCTACTGTGAATATAGTCCAGTGCAGTTTTAAAATTCAGACTCTATATTTTTCTTTTCTTTTCTTTTTTAAAAACATTATTGCTGGAAGTATTACAGATGTCCCCCTTTTTTCTGCCCATTACCCCCTTCCACCTGGTTCCTGCCCCACCCCAGGCCTTCACCACCCTATTGTCTGTGTCCATAGGTAATGCATATGCATATAAGTTCTTTGGTTAATATCTTCCTACTTCCCCCTCCCCCCCTCCCTCTGAGATTCATCAGTCTGTTCCATGTTTCCATGCCTCCTCTTCCTCCTCCTTCTCCTTCTCCTTCTTCCTCCTTCTACCCTTCAACATTTCTTGTAATACTGGTTTGCTGGTGAGGAACTCCTTTAGCTTTTTCTTGTCTCAGACGTTCTTTATCTGACCTTCAATTCTGAATGATAGCTTTGCTGGGTAGAATAATCTTGGTTGTAGGTCCTTGCTATTCATCACTTGAATATTTCTTGCCACTCCCTGCTGGCCTGAAAAGTTTTTGTTGAGAAATCAGCTGACAATCATATGGTGCTCCCTTGTAGGTAACTAACTGCTTTTCTCTTGCTGCTTTTAAGATTCTCTCTTTGTCTTTTGCTCTTGGCATTTTAATTATGATGTGTCCTGGTGTGGGCCTCCTTGGGTTCCACTTGTTTGGGACTCTCTGCACTTCCTGGACTTGTAAGTCTATTTCTTTCACCAGGTAGGGGAAGTTTTCTGACATTATTTCTTCAAATAGGTTTTCAATATCTTGCTCTCTCTCTCTCCTTCTGGCACCCCCATAATGCAAATGTTGGTACGCTTGAAGCTGTCCCAGAGGCTCCTTACACTATCTTCATATTTTTGGATTCTTTTTTCTCTTCTGATTAGGTGTTCTTTGCTTCCTCATATCCCAAATTATTGATTTGATTCTCAGAATCCTCTGCTTTACTGTTGAATTCCTGTAAATTATTCTTTATTTCAGTTAGTGTATGTTTAATTTCTGACTGGTCCTTTTTCATGTCTTTGACATTCTCACTAAGATCCTTGGAAGTCTCTTGAAAATTCTTGAGTAACCTTATAACCATGGTTTTTTAACTATGTATCCAGTAGTTTGTCTGGCTTTCTAGTTCTTGACAGTAAGAGGGAAATTCTCAGCACACCTAATCTTGCTTGGCAAGGAGCAGGAGGCCAGATTCTCTCTCTCACTGTCTTTAAATAATCTCCAAATTTTGGCCAACTTCTTGCTGGATCTGATTAGAATGTCAAGGTTTGTGCCTTGTAATGTGGCTAATGAGCTGATATCAGGAATAGAATGTCAGTTCTGTTGTTTCTTCCTGCTTGCTTTCCTTTGCTTTATTCTTTTGTATAAAATGTGGTTTCTTATTTCGCATAGCATAATATTCTCCAAGTCCCGCCTTGCTGTCTCAAAGGGTCAGAGAAATACAAGTATCACATCATCTCACTCATAAGTGGAATGAACAAAATAAACTAATGAACAAAATAGATCCAGAGATACAGAGCATGGAATAGACTATTGAATCTCAGGGAAAGGGTGTGTGTATGAGTGAGTGGGTGGGATGAGATCAACCAAGGAACTTGTATATACGCATATATGCATAACCCATGGACACAGACAATAGTGTGGTGAAGGCCTAGGGTGGGAGGTGAGGACAGGTTAGAAGGGGTCAATGGGGAAAAAAGGGAATATATGTAATACTTTCAACAATAAAGATTATTTTAAAATGCGGTTTCTTTGCAAAATCTTTTGAAATCACTTATGTTTTCTGACTTGCATTTAGTTAAACACGCTGATATTTAGATTAAAATCTGGACAAGAACTGTGACATACACAGTAATTTAAAGCAACCAAACCGGTAAGAGTGCCCCCCTCTCCGCACTCCCCCCCACCCCCCGGCACTGCACAGCCTCACCCTCTTCTGAGGACACAGTGACCCATGGCAGGCACAGCATCCATCTGCATCTTACTTGTGCGCAAATATAATTTCCTCCTTAAGTTTTTAGACTCAAAGTAAATCGGACTAGATTGTCCTGAGTGTCTCCTGGGGAGAAGCTGTTCCTGCTGTGTGCACAGCTGTCCTGGCACAGGGGCCGAGGCCGCTGGAGGTTAGGGCGATGCCTTGAATGAAAGCCCTGGATTTAATCTGTGGGTTGTCACAGCTAGTTGGTCTTTTAATTGATCTGAGTCATAACCAGCATTTAAAACAACATGAAATAGAGTGGAAACTAGCAGATCTCATCCCCAGTTTTCTTTCCGACTCCCACAGTGGTTCCCTCGCCTGGTGAGGGATCTGGGGCACAAGGCAGTATGTTAAAAAGTCAGTGCTCTCCTGGAGAGGGGTCACCATCCCTGCATGTAATCAGGAGACCAGGCCAAGAGGAGAACTGATTTGCTCGGTCTCACATAGCACGTGGGTGGCACAGCCAAGACCAGTTTCCCCACAGAGGCTCAGGGGACCGGCCAGAGTAGAAGACAGAGGTGGGGCTAAGCCAGACAATGATGGAAAGAGGCCAGTGACCCCGAAAGCACTATCACCTTTGGGGGGTTACATGGCCATTACCTGCCTCGCAGCGTGGTCCCTCGAAGGGCCCTGTGCACAGACAGGTGAAGTTCCCCACAAGGTCGACACATGAGGCTCCGTTCAGGCACGGGCTGGAGCCGCATTCGTCCACGTCTGTGGGCAGTGGAGGTAGAAGCTGGGCTTCCAGCCAGCCTTTGACCACAGCTCCACATTTGGCCAGGAGTAGCCCCGCCCTTCCCGGCCCTGCCCACCCCTCTCTGTCCCATTCCCTCTCCGCACCTCCCTCCCCACCTTCCCGGAGTGCAGGCCACTCACCTGTCTCACAGGCGTGGCCCGTGTAGCCCACTGGGCACTCGCACACCGCGGAGCCGCTGACCACCTGGCACCTGCCGCCATTCACACACTCTTTGGTGTCACATGGAGATGGTGCTACAAGTGCAGAGGGTGGAAGGCCGTTGGAGTCCTGGCTGCAGTGCCCCTGGGGCCTGTCAGGTGGTGGGGGGTCCTGACCAGGGCATTCCTCATGCACCGGCTGCTGAAAGCTCATCTGCTGAAAGCTGTTGTATAGAGTTTTGTTCAGCAGAGGGTGTGTGTGCTGGATGGGGGCTTCGCTGAGCTGACTCAGAGCCGGACTCTGGGGCACTGGCTGAGAGATTCTTTCCAGCCAGGTGGGGGGATACTGCCTGTGATGGAGACTTAAACGGTGTGCAGTGTCCAGGGGTGCAGAAGGGGCCTCAATGGTCCTGGGGGGTTGACATGTTGCTGCAGGGACATCGTGTAAGGCACAGTCCCCAGTCAGAGTAGGAGTGAGCAGGTACAGCCCACCTCTGTCCACCCTCCCACCCACTCTTCACTGGGAATTCAGTTTTCCTGACTCCCTGGTGGTCACTGACAGCAGATCCAGGGATTGGGAGACCCTGCTTTTCCCCTGCTACATTGCCTGTCTCCAGGCAACTCGATACAAGGACCAGATACATCCTGGATGAATGAGCAGCCCTCTCTGGAGTGGTG